TCTAACAGGAGAGCAGGCATCACAGGGTGTTGGCTGCTGGCTTCTGTGAGTGACTTGTTGGTGAGCCTTCTGAATTGTGAAATTAGGACTCTGAACCCTGTCCATCAGCTCTCTCCTAGATTGTCCCAGACACAGCCCTCAGCTGAGTCAGGCATCAACGTATATTGGATAAACTTTTAATTTCTGGTTGTTCAACACAGGGTTTCTCTGTGTTGCCCTGACTAGATTAGAATTTACTTGGTTGACCAGGCTACCCATGAATTCCAATATTCTCCTGCTTCTGCCTATCATGTGCTGCAATTAAAAGTGTGAGCCATAACACCTGGAAACTCATAACCAGACTTTCTTTCAGCTTCAGGAATTCCACAGACTTTTCTGATCTTATTATTAGGAACTCTGTCTGATATAGTTTTTCTGAGAAAAATTTTATATACTTCATCTCTGAAGGAGAGTGTTGCTGTCAATTATAGGCATAGTTTTTCTTTTTTCCACTCAGCTGGTCTCCTATGTCCTGTAGGTATTCGCTCAGAAGTCTGACATTAGCTGTACTGGAAGTCACCCATGTTCTTTTCCTCTTTTGTAAATCTGATGTCAGGATCTCTCATGACAATTATATGCTCATTGATCTTGATGATTGGATTTGAATTTGTTTCATGTCATTTGACCATCTTTAACCTGACCATTTTCAGTTTTCTTCATGTCTCAAGAGTGTTGTACAGTAACTTTTCTAAAAAAGTTTTTCTCTCCTCTTTTCTAAGCTTTGTTTTTCTATCTTTTTGTAAATATTATACAATTTCTTTGTGAATTTCATATAATATTTTAATAATATTCATTCTGCTCCCAAAACTCATTCTAAATGCCACCTTCATCGTCCCAAGTAAACCTCAATGTTCCTTTAACTTTCTTGAATTTTTATGATTTGCAATTGGGTGTTTGGATGGTTTCAGTTTATTTTCATTGTATTTTCATTCAGGTTTTGTATTTACATGACATATCATGTAATGCATGATCTAAGCTCACTCATTCTCCTATATTATAATCAAGTAAACTGTTGGAATGTTCTCTTAACTTTTTATTTTTACATTTATTTGGTGAATTTGTGAATGTGAGTGTGTGTGTGTGTGTGTGTGTGTGTGTGTGTGTGTGTGTACATGCACCATGACACTAGTGTGGAGGTAGAGGAAAACCTGCTGGAATCAATTTTCTCTTTTCACCATGTGCATCCTTGCAATGGTTTTCAGAGGGTCAAGATTGGCAGAAAGAGCCTTTGCCCACTTAGACATCAAGCTGGCCCATATATTCTTCCAATTCAGTAGCTGATATTTTTTGTCTGTGGGGTGGTATACAAAAATTTTATATTAATGTTGATTCATTTCAAAATTCAAAATATTATCTACCCTGAGTTTCTTTTTTTATAGTTAGATTGCATCTTTTTTCTTTTATAAAAGATGTTTTTCTTTGTAAATTGAATATATAGAGAATTTCATACATAACTATTATATGTACATCATTTCAACCCCTTGGAATGTATCCAAAGAACTTGATGTCCTATGGCATAAATGCTTGTTCAGTCATGTTCTTTATTGCTCTATTTTCAAAGCAAGGACAAGGAAACAACCTGAATGTCCTTCATCTGATGAATGGATAATGAAATTTTAACACATCTACACTGTGGAATACTGTTCAAAGATAAATAACAATGAAATTAACATTGACACAGATAGAACCAGGAAATCTCATACTGACCTAGGTAACCCAGACCCAGAAACACAAATAGCATATTTTCTATTTTGTCACTGGATGATAGCTCTAAAGCTGAATCCCTGTGTTTATTCTCCTAACAATTGACAAGGATTATTTTTTTTATTTTTCTCTCATATATTATATCCCTATCACAGTTTCTCCTACATTCATTTCATATTCAGAAAGAGCAAGGCTCTCTGGGATATTAACAGAGCAAAGCACAAAAAGTAACACTAAGCCTAGGCCCATAAGGTGTATCAACATTGAACAATGAAACCATATAAGAGGAACAGGGTTCCAAGTGTAGGTATAAGAATCAGAGACAGCACCAACTCCCAATTCTAGGAGTCCAAGAAGAACACCAAGCTGTACATCCATAACACATATGCAGAGTACCTATCGTAGACCCATAGAGGTTCCCTAATGAACTCTTCAGTCTCTGTAACTGAAGGCCATGATCCATTCTACTTGAATCCTTGGGTCATGTTCTGGTGATGCCTTTGACCTCTTTGGCTCCTACAATTCTTCCTTCTCCCTCTTATTTGAGCTTCCTGGAGCACTGCTTAATGTTTGGCTGTGGATCTCTGCATCTGCTCCCATCTGTTGATAAATCTGGTTTGATATTGAGGTCTTTGATCCACTTTGACTTTAGTTTTGAAGGGTAATAGCCTGCTTCTTATATCCCTTTGCCTAGAAATTACTGGACCAGTGCTTTATTCTGAGATATTGAGGTGATGATTACGTTTGATATTAGTGCTGTTTCTTGTATGCAATGGAAGGATGGGTCCTGTTTTCACACCATTCTTCTAGTCTGGATCTTTTCATGGAGGAATTGTGTCCATTGATACCAAAAACAGTAATGACCGAGGATTGTTAATTCCTGTTATTTTGGTGGTAGTAGTGGTAGTCTCTCTCTCTCTCTCTCTCTCTCTCTCTCTCTCTCTCTCTCTCTCTCTCTCT